AGACTCCTGTTCAGTTCTTTCCTCCTCAGAACATAATCCTGTTGTTTTTCTCCTCAAAGCTTTAATGCTGCACATTTGTAATTGTCTAGAAGTTGACTTAAATCTGTAGAAGTTACCTAAGCTGTCTATCAATACGTCATTGTTCTGTACTTTTTTCCCGAGCCAGCAATAGTGAACAGGTCAGCTCTCCAGACCTACAGTGGTTCGCACCCTTAAGCTTTCCCACAGAGGACACAGTGACACATGACACCATTTGGGTGCGGGGTCTCTGCTTGTTTCTGATGGGACTCTTCCCTGATTAACGCCTGTCTATAAAACTCAGGAGGCAGAAGGAAGAGAGAAGATAAGCAATATGGGAGCCTAGCAGGGAAGGGTGCAGGGCTTGGGTTTGGGGCACAGATTTGCGAGTCTGTATTTAACCCATTGTGAAAAAAATGACAATTGTGATTGATTGTGTGCTCAAGTTAATTTATATGGAGGAGAGTGTTATCATGGTGACTTGATCTGTGTGGGTATCTGCGGGAAGATAGGAAGCCTACTTGTGGTAGGAAATCTCAAGTTCCCATTCTGATGACTTCTCTTTGAAGACCACAGATAACAAGGTTTTTCATAATGCGTCAGGGCCCTTCATTTCTTTCATGCTATCTCAGTTCAGGTCAGGATGAGTCAGGTTGAACTGTTGTACTGGTGTTTACCTTGGAAACAGATCCACTTGTGAAGGAAAGCAAGGGTTTGGGGAAGCCTGATGAAAGGCCACCTGCCCTGGGACTACCCCCTGTTGCATCCGGTGTTCATTTCCAGCAGATAGTCGATAGTTACTATCAAAAATGATGATGAACACATATAAAACCCCCCTGCTCCAATCACAGTCATTCACACATGAGTTTCTGATTTTCTAAGTGCTTTCTACAATAGGCATTATGAGATCATTTATCTGCCACATAAAAGAGAATTTTATCCTCCAATAATGTACACAAGGCCAGTTAAAATATCCTTGTACACTCAGAGACCTTCAAGAAAGGTAAAGAAAATTTGGCTCAAGAGCCTGGCAAGTACTTCAAATATTACAGAGAAATATAATGGGATTTTTTTTTTTTTTTCAAAGGGATTGTCACCCATAAACATGGTAGAGCTACCAAGGAATTTATATATTGACTTACATGGTTAACTTACCATATTAAAAAAAAATAAGCATAATGAAAAGAAACCTTTTGTAAATGTGTTCCAAAGGTTAATTGTGTGTCTGCTTCTGTTCTAGATACTGTGATACAAAGACAGCATGGACATGCCTATTTATCAAGGTCAATGTTGATAATAGCTGCTTTTAAAACACTTCATTTAAACAGGAAAGTACAAAACTCTCTGGTCTCTTTCACAAACATTAACTCAGTGACTGCAAAGTAATCCATAGTGTGTTCTGTGTCTGACTTCTTTTCTATGTTCTGGCTGGTTTGATAACTTCACAATTTCATATGGAAGAGAAAGGGTCTTCAAGAGGCAAGTCTAATTTAAACATCTCATGTTAAAATTCATGCTAAATTTTATAAATGTGAAAAATGCTTCTTTTACATCCCTATGACTTTCTTAAATCTCTCTACCCTTTAGTCATTAACAATGTGCACTTTTTTACAGTCTAAAAAAGCCAACAAAACCAATTCTGTGTAATTGTCAAAACAGTGAAGTCACATATATAAAAAATCTGATTTTTAAATTTAGCTCATTTCTCTCATTTTGCAAATGTGGAAAATGAAATCCCAGAAGGATCCAAGGTCATATAGCAAATGAAGGAGGTTTTAGAACAAAGACCCCACTGATCCTGTTCCCTGTCCAGATTATATTTCTTTTTCTTATTAGTGAACATTTTGAATGAATTCAAATTTCTCCAATTCCGATGCCAGTCTTTGACTTATAAAAATCACAGAGGACTTGGGGTGCCTTGGTGGCTCAGTCATTAGGTGTCTGCCTTCAGCTCGGGTCATGATCCCAGGGTCTTGGGATCGAGCCCCACATTGGGCTCTCTGCTCAGCAGGGAGCCTGCTTCTCCCTCTCCCACTCCTCCTGCTTGTGTTCCCTCTCTTGATGTCTCTCTCTCTATCAAATAAATAAATAATATTTTTATTAAAAAATCACAGAAGACATGCCTTTAGGAAAGAAAGTATTATGTTCTTTTTTTTTTTTAATAATTTGGTGCCATTGTTTATATTCGTATAGGATTTTGGGTTCATGATCCATATAGTTCTCTGACACTGAGACTGGAACTACCAAGAATGTTTTCATTCAGTGCAAGAGTTGTCTAAAACGTTTTCCTATAAGTAACTTTAAAATGAAAACATCACAAACTAACTTTAAGATAACTAGAAAATATCATGATAATAGCCCCATCATCTTTAAAAAAAAAATTTAGGGCTTTTAATTGTGTCAGGCATCATCCTTAATTTTTCATGATTTGCTTATTTAATCCTACAAAGTAGATGCAATTATTACCATCTTTGTTATGTAAGTTAGAGGTTAAGGCTTCATCTCTGGAACTTATATTAGAATTTAAGTCATGTGTTCAAGAATGCATAGCTAAGACAGGACAGAGTCAGCATTTGAATCTTTACCTGATGCAGGTGCCTATAGTTTTTCCTAGTGTATAATTTTGGTAACTCCCCAAATTTTGAATTCCAAAATATCACTTGTTACTTTGTTTCTTAGAGCTTGGATGCATTTCATCGTATAACAATGTTACCAAGTTCACCTGAAACATAAAGTAGATTAACTAATATAACTATAGCACATTTAAAAAAAAAAATTGTCTTAGGGACCAAAGTATTTATTTACTTGTTTTTATGAGAAAACACATTCTCTTTGGAGGAAGTAGAACCATGAAACTGAAATGTTCTTCGGCCACAGCTCTCACATGCTAGACAGTCCAGAACTCTAAGTCATCCCTCTCGATCTCCTGGAAATGTGATTTGCCACTGGCATGAAGGGAACCCATGATCTTGGCCCTTGGCATATTGTCAGCCATTCCTACAAAGGCCGCTCACTGTAAGCTCCTGGCTGTGACTCCTAGCTCATTATATGACCCTCTGTTTCCCAGTCTAAGTACCTACTTGCCTTCAACTTCTTTAACTCACTTCTCAGGTGGGTTAGCTCAGACCTCCCTGCAATTAACTTTCAACCTAATGGAGGAGCCTACATTGGAACACAAAGATATGACCCCAAGTTACTCCTTGTTTATGATTCTAAGTCTTAGAACAACTAATCCTTCCAGAGTGATTTCCAAAGGAACCAGATTCATTTTAGATGCTTAGATAAGATATTTGGATTTTAGAAGAAGGGGTTCGTTGCATAGACTACAGTAATATGCTCCAATAACAGTTTACTGTTTTGGTGGCTCTCAGCATATATCAATCAGCTGTACATTGGATTATTCTGGAATGCCCTCTGGAATTTCAGAACTTGATAGGGATATTTTTAACATGTATATGTTCATTTGAACAGAGCTCAAAATCAATGCAACCTGTTTTTTAAACAGTTGTGTCGACTATTTTAACATGTCTAAGACATTTCATTTTTCTTCTGTTAGATAAGGCATTTTCCATAAGCAACTTTGCTGTCAGAAATCATCTAATAAGTCACAGACACTCGTGTTACAGGAGAGACAGGTAGGAAGATGAGAAAGCTAATAATATAAAGACAGTTTATTTGCTGCTTTGATAGGGAACTATCTTTTGGCTTCATGTCCTTAAAACTATATTTTGCCACCACTACCTCCCAAAAAGAGCAAATGTGAACTCTCACCTTAATTATCCCATTGTTGATTTAGTTATAGTCAAATGAATTTATAAACCAAAGTACAGCATAGTGATCTCAACAAGATTTTTGCCATAAGTTCTTATTCCTCTGTGTCTTGGGGTATGTTTGGAAGTTTGTTTTGTAACTGGTTTTATATCTCTTGTATAAACAATTCTGTACTGAAATATGTAGACTTTAGAATAAAAGTTGTTTTGTTTTCATGCTGCTGCTGAGGCATGCTGGGTGCACACTCAGAGTGAACAGGGCTCACAAAATATGGTTGAGTGTTCATACCTCTCTAGTGATCTCTTCAATTCCATATCCTTAGGGAAGGAAGCCCTACTATGCACAAGCCATACTGTAAGACGTTCAATAGGTATTTGAGCCAGAGTGTGACCTAACGGCATGCTACAGAGGAGACATGACAATGGGTTTGAAGGGTGAAAATGGAAACTACTGAGCTTTGCAGCTGATCACAATCAAATCAGAACACATCAAAACAGCTGGTGTTCTGTGACTCAGAATCAATCAACCGGTTTTGAATCACCTCATACTTCTCTTTATTTCTCTTTACAGTTTCACAGAAGAGATTTAAACCAGCATATGTCCTTCCCATTTGGTTAAATCCCTGCTTTGAGCTGCTTTGCTTTCATATTCTAATACCAATGAATGCAACTGACTGTAATATAAAGGAGAAAAATAATAAAGGCTAGCATTAAAATGATTTTTTAACTGATGTCGCTCCGTTTGTATTAAGTAAACCATATGTTCAAATAGAATGCCTAGAAGAGACACAAAGTTTTAAGATTGTGTTATGGAACGAGGATAATTCTGCCCCAGCAGTATTCGTGATCTATACATATGGCAACAGTTCTTGTAAATGTGTAAGCTTGTCATTAATGATTTAACGATTATGCAAATAATGGTATCTTGGGAAAATCAATAGTAAGTTCGTAAAGGAAAGTTAAAAGTTAGGCTGCGTTTTGGTTGCTGACACTAGCTCTTCTTTTTGTTCTGCTAGGTACCTATTACACCATTCTTTGGCGAAGGTTATTCAGCAGTGGTGACCCCTCGCAATCGAACACTCTGCAAATTATTATCTCTGGACTCCCAGCTGACACCCTGCCGGAGGCAAGAGCTCCTAAGCCAACTGGAACTGTGCCTTTTCTCTTGTCAAGGTTTTTTTCTTACACAGGAAAAAGAAAGAAAAAAAAAAGATGAAGTTGGGCAAAGTGGAGTTCTGCCATTTTCTGCAGCTAATAGCGCTTTTCCTGTGTTTCTCTGGGATGAGTCAAGCAGAGCTCTCCAGGTCCGGATCAAAGCCCTATTTCCAATCAGGGAGGTCCCGAACCAAGCGCAGCTGGGTGTGGAATCAGTTCTTTGTGCTGGAGGAATACATGGGTTCAGACCCTCTCTATGTAGGAAAGGTAGGGCATTTGGCCTTTCAAAGTCACAAATGATTATTGTGAATGTTTGTGGTTGGCTGGAGAACTGCTGTTTTTGCTTTGGGGAGACCAGAACGATTACTCCTGTGAAATAGTTCGCGAAGTTTTTGGCATTAACCAGTCTGAAATTATAGTCCAGATTGCTCTCCATACACTGAAGCCATAATTTACAGAGTGATGTTTATTTCTAGAAAGAGAGGAGGAGTCTACAGATGCTTCGTTTACCACGATTGTGGCAAACTAGTAAAACTTTTATTTTCAAAATTAGAACGAGAATACTCACTAAAATGAAGAATAGTGGGTACGTCTAGACAGTTGATTTTTTAGCTTCTTTATTCTTTTGGAGGGGAGTACTATTTAAATACATACTAACTTTATGCTTATTTATCCTTTTCTGATACTTGCAACTTAAAGACTGCAAAGTGAAATTATCGAGCCTATCGTCCCTCAGTTATGAGCAGTTCTGACCCGCTTTTCTTAGTGGTGGTCTTGGTCTTGTTTTGATGGATCTGTTTTTGGTTTTTGTTGTTGTTGTTGTTTTCAGATTTTCCTTTTGGTTAAAAATGAACGGTAACAAGTCAGTTTCTAATTGATATCGGACAAAAAGTGGGCAGTTGGTGGTGCATGTTTGGGGGCCAATTGGAATTTTTTTTTTTTTTTCCTTTCACAGCTTCATTCTGTCTGAATATTTGGGTGGGGGATTTCTACTCATGTGCTTTCGGCACTGAAGGGTGTTTTGAAAGAGCATGGCCCTACCATCCTCGTATCATGTTCCCAGTCTTTAATCTACTTCAGGTTTGATTATGTAAAGATTTTCCCCAAATTCCTCAGTTTGGTGCCAAGTACTGGTAAAGAGTTTCTAAGTAGCACGCATCGGCGAGATCTCTCTCTCTCTGCCTTTCTGCTCTTCCCTTGGTCAGTGTTACGCGTCTCTTCCTGATAAAATGAAACACAGCAAACTGGTGCATTTATCCATGAGTGAATTTTCCACTTTGAATGCCTGAAGAATCTTTGCTCTTTATTCCATGGGTCATTGTTTCATTTGAATACATCTTAAGGAAGAGTGAAAAATCTGTTTTTGTTGATGGGTATCTAGAGAAGTCAAAGTAATCTTTTTATTATTTTCCTTTGATGTTCCTATAGTTTATAAATACTGACTGGTGCTGTGTTATAAATAGTTGTATTATAATACAAATGTTTGTATTATGAACAAAGGGGACCTGAACCAGTAGAGTTGCTAGGGTGTGGATTGCGATGTTTTTGTGGCCCAGTGACAGCATTTTCTGCCCCAAGAAAGGATATGTAAGTACACAAGGGTTTTTGTGTGTGAGTTTTTTATAGCCATTGTACCTTTATCAATAGTACCATCACATAGACTGTGCATTTCTGTGCAGTGCTCCCTCAATCTCTCTCATTCATTTTCTTGTCAAGAAAGTGAGAGCAATAATCATTACACAGTGTTATTAACTAGGAATCTGGCCCTTAATTTCATACATTTTTAATACATATTTAACAGTGTCATCAAATTTTTTTTTCAGTAGACAGGTATATAATATTCAATGAATTCATAGTGTCAGTAGTTATTAGGTGAGATCACACTTTTATGGGAATGTAAAGTTTTCTAAAGGCCACTGGAATATTCCCGTTACTTTGGTTTTAAGTGGAGTTGCCCGAATGACGTTGGTATTTTGAAATAACCATAATTTAAAATTTAAAAAACACCTTTATTTTAAATTTTAAAGTTTTTGCATCATAATTGAGAATGCTTATGTTGAAATAATCCCTCTAAGGCCATTTAGAATTACAAAAATGGATATCCCTAGGTGACTTAAATTCCAAATGCATATAAAGTTACCAGGCCATGCTGTTGTTATTTTTCTAAGAGCAATTGTGTGGTTTCTTGATTAGTAAAAGAGATATTCTGTGCTTTCCTTTCAATTAGAGACCATTGCTTTGTAGATTTCATGTGACAGGTAACAAGTTTGTGCTTATCTCTTGGCAGGCTGTGTATTGGGAGTTCAGTACTGGCATTCACAGTAAAAGAATGTCCAAGATGGTAAATAGGTTAAAAACGAAACAAAAGGAAAAAACAAAGCCTTGATAGACAAAAACATACAAGTCCAGAAAAAGGACAGTAAAATAATTTGAGATGGAGAAGGAATTTATAGACACAAAAGGCTTCAAAGGAACAATTTACATTTGCTTGGAAGGAGCTGGCAGAGAATTTGAATACTTCAGATTGTATATATGAGATGATGAAATGATCCTCCTTAGGCTGGCAGTCTGTATAAATAGTTACAATAATGACTTTGACCTCAGTACAGTTTCAGTCACTTGGGTTATGTAGAATAAATATATTTTCCTTTTTTAAAGTGTTCGCAAGACCTAGAAAAAGAAAAAAAGTTTTAGATGAAGATGTGGAAAAATGGAGAGGCAGATGTTCATGGAAAGAAAAGAAGGAAAGCAATCATTACTTTTTATAGACATTTATGTAAACCTGTACTAATTAGATGGCTAGACTCCTAGTCTTCCTGACAAAATCCTGTCATTTAATTTAGAAAACATATATAATGTCCTTGGTAAACTTGAGAGCGTAATTTGATCTCATAATGGATATTATAGTGTATGTTAAATTGACTGCAGTCTCATTGTGGATTCTACCACTTCCTACTAGTTGTGGAATTTGGGTTAAATTGTGAAATATTACTAAAATTTAGTTTCCTCATCTCTAACATGGGAACAATGATACCCATAATTCAAGTTTCTTTCTGAGAATAGATGAGATCAAAATATTCAGAACATGCATTCATTTAACCTAGACATTCTGTTTATCTACTTTACTTCATATTTATAAGATGACCCCATACGGATGATCTGTTGTGTTATATGTCCAGTGTTGTATTTGTGATCCTTCAGGTGAAAACAGGCATTATTTTATGTACTAAGTAGTATTTAAACTTATTGTAGTTACTTAGGAGAATGGTCTGTGCTGAGTGTGCTTAGAAATATAGCATGTTTTTATCTGTAGATGATTAGACTATGGCAAAAAAATGATTAGGAAGCAGATGATTCTATCTTGAATTCTAATGTCAGAGAAATGACACCTGCAATTTTTAAGACCTTTGAATTTGGAGATCATATTTATGGCTGGTGGGCAAAAAGATCAGTTAAATGACGGTACAGTAAATAAAATATGGTCTTCAGGATGTTGGAGATAATGAGGCCAAAAGATGCTGTGCCCTTATTATTTTAGCCAATTTACTAGGTTTGGCTAACATAATAAGTCAAGATCAAAGCAGAACAGTCTGTTGAAGGGGACCAGGAGGTCTTCTAGAACCCTCACCAAGGGACCTTCATGGTATGCAGTTCTGAGCTATGTTAGAATCTGACATTTATCATGAGCATCCCACCTTACTCTTATGATATCAACTAATAAACTGCTGAATCGAAACATATACACTTAAGGAAATAATCACTAGACATTCCTGTGGCAGAACATTTTTTTTTTTAATTGAGGCATAATTGCTATGTAACATTGTATTAGCTTTAGGCATACAACATAATGGTTCAGCATTTGTATATATGGTGAATTGTTCACTGCAGTAAGCCTAGTCCATGTCTGTCACCTTACACTCAGATTTTTACGTGTTATATTTTCTTGCGATGAGGACTTTTTTAAGGTCTCTTCCCTTGGGAATTTTCAGACAGGCAGTAGAAGATTATGAACTATAGTCACCATGCCATGCAGAGTACGGTTTTAAAGAGTAAGAGTGCACCATTCCCTAAGAGTCTTTCTTAATTACCACCTTGCCTGTTTTCTTGTCCTTTTACAGGGAGAATGAGGTGGAGAGTCTTTGCTTTTCCCTTTATGACTTACTGCCTCCTGAACTGGCCATTTGAAGTCCACAGGAAGTAGCAGTTTCTAGCCATCTCATTGCATCACAATGCACTTTTCTAGATTAGTCTTTTCCTCACATTGGCATTTCTCACTTAACGTTCCCTAACCATCTGACAAAAAAAAGAAAAAAAAATTGTCTACAGAACCACAGGGCCTCTGTTCCAGGTATTAAGTGTTTTTCATCTCTCATACCATAATGGGCTGCCAGCTGATCCCTGCGCTCTGGGCTGTTACTTTCACTGAAATGTGTGCTTCCTGCCTCTTCCGCGGTCTGCTTCTCTAGCGGTTAACATCACTCTTGCCTTTTCTGCTACTCCCCTTTCTTCCCTCCTCATCCAGGGAGAATTTATACCTGTTACCCCAGTCGAAATCAAATATATAGAAATGCAGTGTGGGATTCATTCTGCTTTAAATCTAAGCTTAATGGAAAAAAAAATAAAAAGTTTAAGCTTGCTGGAAAGTGTTGGTGAGCATTTTCAGTGCATTTAATTACATCTCAGCAATATCTCCTACCAAGACATTCTCTGTCTCCTGATAACTGAAGCTATGCTCAGTGTTCCAGAAATTTTCTCCTTTTTTAAAAAAAGATTTTATTTATTTATGAGAGGTAGAGAAGGGGAGAAAGAACACAAATGGGGGAGGGGCAAGAGAGAGGGAGAAGCAGGCTCCCCACTGATCAGGGAGCCCAATATGGGACCTGATCCCAGGATCCTGGGATCATGACTGGAGCTGAAGGCAGACGCTGAACCCACTGAGCCACCCAGGTACCCCCAGAAATTTTCAACTTGAAAATTGGTTGTTTTTGAAAATTGAGGTCTGAATTAGATTCCTTAGCTGGGCAAATTTATATTAAATATACAAAAAGAAAATAATCACAAATACTAATTTCTTAGGGAGGAGCATTTTCATCATGGTAGTATTTCTATTTTGTAGATTTGGGAGGGGAAAAATGCAAAGGTATCCTACAAATATGTAGATTACTTAAAGTTGGCTCCAGTCTTAGAAGAAAGCGAATAGTTTGTTTTCCTTCTGTTTATATGGAAAGCCCATTTTTATACTATTTTTATAACCAGAGTGAATTCAG